AGTGTAATGGTGACTAAAGGGTGTTTTTTCATGTCCTCTATGCTCTAACTATGAAAATATTTGATTTACAAATAAGGAATCCTACTTCACGGAATTTCATTTATCACAGTAAGGTCTAGAACTGATTAACCGTGATAAACGAGGGTTCACTGTATATTACTTTGAGGATTAAGGTGCACCTGACCCACGCCATGGTATTTTCAATTTCATAATGTGTATGTGAAAGTTGGACACTGAATAAGGAAAAACAAAGAAGAATGGGTGCATTTGAATTATGGTGCTGGCCAAGAACATTGAAAATACCATGGATTGCCAAAAGAAGTACAGTCAGAATGCTCCTTATAGGTAAGGATGGTGAGAGTTTGGCCCACGTACTTTGGACAGGAGAGGCTCAGGAGAAACTGATCCCTGGAGAAGGACATCTTGTTTGGTAAAGTAGCAGGACAGCAAAAAAGAGGAAGATGCCCAACAGGATGGGCTGCATTAATGGGCTGCATCAATGGGCTCAGACATAAGGACAACGTGGATGGAACAAGACCCTGCAATGTTTCATTCTGTCGTACTTAAGGCTGCTCTGAGTCAGAACTGACTCGACAGCACCCGGCAACAACATACACCTTTCTCCAAAAAGGAAAGGGTTGAAGAACTGAAGACAAAGTTTTATCCACTTTCCTAGATGACCTTCTGCAGATTTTGCCTAAGTGGCTGTCGTCTTAGGTGAGAATCACACACTCACTAGATCTCAGACTCTGAGGAGATGATGTAGAGGCCACATCGACCTTCTTTGACTGCACAAGAGTGGAGAATCCAACTGCCACCCACCACGACAGAGTGCCACAAAGCAAAGGCCAAACATGCCTCCACTCTCCACTTTCACCAATTCTGACACCAACCGCCACTCCCATGGCACTCCCCTTCTCTGCTAGAATCCATAATTCATTGCGATGACCACACAGAACTCACAGACAATACCCATCATTACGGGAGTTTATTAGGGAAGCTAACAGGTCACTATTTTTTAAGTGAGTCGATAATCATACAAGCATGTAATATGAAAAATGAAAGGTACATTTTACCTAATAGGGTGAATATTTAAGCATGGGCAACCAGGACTAGTAATATGAGAAATGGAAATTAAATACAGACACTAGGCTCGTTCCTAGTCAATTTGGCAGGAAAAGATTGACTACCTGATGTCACCTCTCCAAGGCCTCCCCCTGGAGAGTAGTCACACGCTGAATGTCTGAACTGAGGCTAATGAGTTACAGGCATCAGGACACTCTTGGGGACACCCTGAAACATCCCAGTCCCTAAAGCATTGACTTTGAGTTTGGTTTCTTATAAAAATATCTCTCAGATATGAAATTGACCTTTTATCCATGGAAAATTCCATGATATTTGTAGCTTTTAATGAATCGTTTGGGTATAGACACAGTGTCTGCCTGAATTTCTACTTCTAATGCACTGAAATACCACATAAAATGAATGGATAGTCTTGCTAGAAAAACCTGGAGGTGGCACAATGTGTTTACAGTAATGTTTAAAAGAATTGTTGCCTCGGTCAGAAACTTTGTAGTAACAATTTTTACTTTCATTGCCTTTGATAATTAAGCTTTTTCAAGGACTATTCTGCTCAAGGATGGCATATTTTAAAGGTATATTTTAAATTTGTTTTTCATATATTCTAAGACCCTGTTTGTAATCTCATCCCCTAACGTCTTTATGTAGCTCCAGGACCAAACTTTCCATTTGGTAATCACTGGAACGCCGTGTTTGGGAGACCCGTATCATTTGGTTTCATCTGCCTGATATTCACTGTCTCTCAACATGTTAACATTCTAGTTTCATAGGACTATGGTCATCCTTTAAAGACCATTTTGTTTTACTAGAAGGTTGTTGGATGTCTGTGAAATCTTAATTATGTTTGAATGTCATATTCTTAATCCAACATTCAAATGTTCCTAATGCCTGCTAAGGTCTGTTTGTTTGTTTGTTTGTTTGTTTGTTTGTTTCCTCCTGATGTCTTAGACACAAAATAAGCAGTGATGGGTTTTGAACATCTGATATCTGTACCATGTTTGTTGTTTACTTAGGTCAAGTTTTGCATGGAAAGTAGAATCTGAACTGTCGACAAGCTAAGTACTCTGGCCCTTGAGAAGTGTTATTATGTGACCACTACTCTTCCATTGGAACCAAATTAGGTCTCATAGTCATGCAACCTGTGTGCATGTTTTAGATTTGTAGAATGTAACAAAGGTGTGTGTATATATTGGAAAAGCCTCCTGACAGCTAAGAGGAAACAATTATTCCTATTTAGATTTTTCATAGTCATGCATCAATAGAAGTAACAGAAATAGAAACACTATCATTAATAATCTTTGTTTTTAAACTATGATCACATTGTAATCCATTTATTAACTTGGACTAAGAAAGACCTTCATAATAAAGGATTGCTACCACTTGGCAGGCTTGGTTAAATTATACTGCAAGTTATGTTAAAATAGCATATGCCAACTCAATACTACTTTGTGATTCTAATGCATTTTACCTATTTCTTACAAGAATATATGCTTTCTTGGTTCAGATCACCTCTATTCACCACTAAGAACAACATCATTCACAAGGATGTTCTCAACTACAGCTGTGAGACATTTCAAGGACAATATTCAGAACATTTTAAGAGGTTTCAACTGGGCATCATGACCAACTGGAGAAACTTTTTCTCCGTGACTCTTGAAACACAGAGGTAATGAGAAAAAGCAAAGGTATGCACCAACAACTTTTAGTCGACACACTCTAGTGACACATGCCAGTTTTATGAATCTGTAGCTCTTGGGGGAAAGACCTGAAAATGTGGATCACATTGAACTTAAGAACCATGCTGTCACAGGGATGTGCTAGAATGTTCTCTGTTATTCAAAATACAAGGCTACTGTAACTTAAACTACCAGTTTCAGTAAAGAGCTAAAGCCAAATGATATTACATCTTTCATTTGGGAAGGCAAACTAGCCCAGGAATAGGGGTAGGGGTTCCACAGTCTACAGTCACAAAGATTATGAATGGAAAATTTATACTTAGAAACCAATACCCTAATTCTCATTTTATTGTATTTTAGAACATACTATTCCAAATTAATGTCATCCTTTGGCTCCACAGTAACAACCTCCACACACAAAAACAATCACAGAAATGCTTGAGGCATAAAAGAACATCTAGAATCCCACAGAAAAGACAGAACAGAGAAGTGGCACTAGTCATGGATTTTGCACACAAAAAGTGATCTTTATGAACAATTATAAGAGTCCTGCAAGTTTTCATGCAATATAGCATTAAATAAAAACCTAAAATGAAAATATTCATGACTGCTTATTACCAGGTGCCTCTAGTGTAGGATAGGCTTACCATTGTTCAGTGTATGAGATCAAATTGCAAAATGAAATTGAAACTATATTTCATTTTCCCAAATAGTTACATTTTCCGAGTTGCTCAATTCTTCTTTATTTTTGAGTAAGATAGTATTTTAATAAAGATTGTTTAATATTTTACTTTGTTCTTTCATGTTTGTAATTTCTTATAACCCCTTAACCTACTTTGTACAGCCTATTACAGTTGTTAACTATATGCCATAGTTTCATTTCTTCATTACTGTTTTGTTAGAGTCTATTACATGCCCATCTCTTTTCTAGATTAAGGGAATATTATGGCTACCAAGAGAGTTAAAGTCTCTGACCTTGATAAGCTTCATATTGTCTTGTCCTTATTCGGTGAATATTTACTCTTAAAATTTCCTCATACTGTGTGTATGAGAGAGGGAATTAAAAGGGTTTTTATTTTATTTTAATATTAAACTAATTAAAATATTAATTTAGATACTAAATGGTTTGTTTTATTTTATTTTAATATTAAATTAAGTTAAATATTAAAGATAGTTAAGTAAAGAACTCCAAGACTGAGATTAGGGAAGCACAGATTTGCAACCCATTCAGCAAAAAGTATATATTTAACGTAGGGATAAGAAGAGTTATCTTTAAAGTTCATGCAACTGTAAAGGGTAGTGTCCTCAGTTGTTTGCTATCCCTCCCACTTATTAGGCGAGTTACCATGGAAAGATTCCTGAATCTACTCACTCCTCGGTTATCTTATTTGTGCCATAGAAAATGTCAATCTATCTGGTGGCTGTGATAGAATGGAGGCTCTGTATGTACTATCTATTTCTAGCACATCCTTTTTTTCCCAATCATTTTATTAGGGGCTCATCATACAGCTCTTATCACAATCCATACATACATCAATTGTGTAAAGCACATTTGTCCATTCATTGCCCTCATCATTCTCAAAAGATTTCCTCTCCACCTAAGCCCCTGGCATCAGGTCCTCATTTTTTCCCCTCCCTCATGAGCCCTTGATAGTTTATAAATTGTTATTTTGTCATATCTTGCCCTGTCCAACGTCTCCCTTCATCCACTTTTCTGTTGTCCGTCCCCCAGGGAAGCGGTCACATGTAGATCCTTGTAATCGGTTCTTTGAAACGAAGAGGTGACTGTGAAATCGCCTCAGGCACCGAATCCGATGGCGCCCGCCCACACTCAGAAGAAGGGAGGGGAGTAGACAAGGCTGACAAAGTCCCAGGTCTCTGGTTTCCAACAGATAGAACGTAATGGAAAAAGCGAATGGAAGCTCCTTCTCCGGATTCATTCTCTTGGGCTTCTCTGGCAGACCCCACCTGGAGACGATTCTCTTTGTGATCATCCTGGTCCTGTACATTTTAAGCTTTGTGGGCAATGGCACCATCATACTCTTATCCATCCTGGATCCCCGACTCCATACCCCTATGTACTTCTTCCTCTCTAACTTATCTTTTATGGATCTTTGTCTGACTACTTGTACAGTCCCGCAGACTCTGAGCAACTTCAAGGGGAAAGATAAGACCATCACATACGGGGGATGCGTGACCCAGCTTTTCATTGCCTTGGGCCTTGGGGGAGTGGAATGTATCCTTCTGTCCGTCATGGCCTACGACCGCTATGCTGCTGTCTGCCGCCCACTCCACTACACGGTGATCATGCATCCCCAGCTCTGCTGGCAGTTAGTTATAACTGCTTGGCTTATCGGCTTTGGCAATTCTGTGGTGCAGACGGCATTGACCATGACCCTTCCGCTCTGTGGTAAAAACCACGTGGACCATTTCTTTTGTGAAGTTCCAGTGATGCTGAAACTGGCCTGCGCCAACACCTCCATCAATGAGGCTGAGCTCTTTGCTGTCAGCGTCTTCTTCTTAGTGGTCCCTCTCTCACTCATCTTGGTATCCTATGGTCACATCACCCGTGCAGTCTTAAAGATAAAGTCGACTCAGGGGCGGCGAAAAGCTTTTGGGACGTGTGGTTCCCACCTCATGGTAGTGATCATTTTCTTCGGCACGCTCATCTCCATGTACCTCCAGCCTCCCTCCAGTTATTCCCAGGATGTGAACAAAAGCATCGCGCTCTTCTATACTCTGGTGACTCCCCTATTGAATCCCCTGATTTACACTCTGAGGAACAAGGAAGTCAAAGGCGCACTGAGGAGATTCGTTGGAAGACCCATCGCCTCAAGAGAGAGTTAATTCAGGGCTCGCAGGACCACTCACTTGTGCTTGGAAATACTTCTCAGCAGTTATGAGCTACCTTTAACTTAATTCCATTTTTTTTTAATGTGGACATGCCACATGCCAGGCTCTGTTCTAAGTATTTTGGACAAGTCAGTGGCAGAGACAGGAGGATTCTTGTCCTCACAGAGTCTCTTTCAAGAGGGGAGAAGATAAGTTAATACATTGTAATCTGTGATGTATTGGAATACTATACAATAATGGGAATAAAACTATAAGTACATATGCTGGCATGAATAATTCTCACTAACATAATGTTCAGTGAAATAATTGGGATGCAAAACAGTTCATACTGTATGGATCCTTTTATATAAAAATTTAAAGTTAGGCAACATGATTCTCTGGCATTACAGGTCAGACAGTGGTTGTCCTATGAGTGACTATTGAAATGTAGACTGAGAGAGGGCTTCCAGAGTTCTGGTCCTGTCTGGCTTCCTGTTCAGATGTTGTTTACATAAGGTGTGGAATTTGTTAAAGTCTATGGAACTGCACTTTGGTAGATACCACTTTCCGTATGTGTGTTGTACTTCATTGATATATACATTTAAAATTTTTTTAAGGTATCCAGAGTTAACAGATAATAGCATTTTGATAATTGTATTATTTCCTCTTATATAAAGCTTGTGTTTACATTCAAAATGATCCATGTTACTTCTTTCTGTTAAAATAAATGCTGGAAGTGTTTCTGATGCTCATAATCTTCAACTAGATTAGAATGAGCCCCGACTAACTTTTATTTGAAGGTTCCAATCAAACATCAGTTATAGAATGAATCTCTCCATTTCATACAGAATTTAAGTGGTGAGTTGCTGAAGAAAAGGTAAAATGATAATTTCCACATGAAAAGTTTCCTGCTGAGGATATAACATATTCTAATAAAAAATATTTGCATGTGTGTATGGTTGGGGGGGGGGTTGTGACAGAGAAGAGAGAGTGTGTGTATGTGTGATGTGTGTAGTCTACAAAAACACCACAATTCAAGTAAAAACCTAAAAACAGTTTTTTATTGACCAAAGATTTCAAAATATTCAAGCATTTAATGGTTTGGATCCCCCAGCAGCTCTGCAAAAATAAAGACCTGAAGAACTGGTCCTATAAATATTACAGCCTAGAAAATCCTTTGGAGTAATTTTACTCTGTTCTGTGGGGTTGCTATGAATCACACCAGACTCAGTGGGACACAACAATAACAGACAAAGTAACACATACTGAAGAGGATTTATCAAACAAAATGAAAAGCAGAATTAAATAACAGTTAACAGGTGCCGTTGCTGCTGCTGCCTCCTAGCGGTGACCCCATGCACACCAGATTGAATCACTGCTGGATTCTGCTCCATCCTCACAATTGTTTGGTCGTTTGATCCCATTTTTACAGCCATTATGTCAAGCCATCTTTTTGAGGGTCTTCTTCATTTTTGCTGATGGTCCTTTGATGTCCTTTTCCAAGGACCAAAAAATTCACTGCCATCCAGTCAATTCTGACTCATAGCGACCCCACTGTGGGTTTTCAAGACTGTCACTGTTTACTGCAATAGAAAGTCCAGTCTTTCTCCCATGGAGCTACTGGTGGTTTCGAACTGCTGATCCTGTGGACCACAGCCCAACTACATCACAGGGATTCTGCCTTTCCAGGGACAGGTAGTTTATGTAAATATTTTCTTCTTAAATATATCTTATTTTGACAATGAAGTTTGAAGGTTTATTCACATATTATTCTGCTAATTAAGTAACAGAACAACAAGACTTTCTTCACATAAATGAAAACTGATTAGTGAATAGTTGAGTTCCTTATATTATTCTGCCTCTTGTATATTGAGTAATTTTAATTCTGAGTGACTTCGGATTATTTTCTGAGTGTAATACAGAAAATATTATTATTTTAATGGCGATGGCTTGGATTATTTTAAACCATCATGACTAGTGTCATCGACAACCATATCATTTCTAGGACACAGTGGTCTCTTACTCTATATCTTTTTTTTTTAAGAAAATAAATACTGTTTTCATTTCACTAACTCACATAATTAGCCTTTTGTAACTTCTGCTACAGAGAAGCTATACTAGGTTATGAGGCCTTGCCAAGTCATATACATCTTTATCAATCATATTTTTAAAGACATTTGATCCTGAGGATGTGACAAGGATGATGTGGACTAAAATTACAGAGAGGAGTTGGCCAGTCTCAACAGAATTGCTGAGTGTCCCATCCACCATCTGCCTGGGAGCATTTGTCAAACATGAGTGTGAGCTGAGGACCAGGCAGGAGGCCGTCATCAGGCTTCTGCCATGAGAGAAACAACCAGTACAGCAATCCGGTTAGGCTGGGAGGACAAACTGATGTTTCAAGAAATCCCCAATACATGGGCAACTATTCCTAATAGGCACTTTCTGAATTCTGAGGCTGCATGGGGGGCTGGAGAGCTAGGTCAAAAGTTTTACAAGGTAGACCCTAAGTAAATAAATATCTATGAATTTTAAATTAATTATAGGAGGGGGAAATGGAATGAAAAACCAATGTATTTTTCCACAAACTATTTAAAGACCCTTCACATATACAAAGAAAAATGTTTTAATTTAAAGATAAAAGAATAAAACCTTCTGCAATTTCACTGGGCTTAGAAAACAAATGGCCCAGCAAGGTTAGGAATATGCTTGTATCACACAGCTCTCTGTATGAGGATATTTGTTACATTTCAAAGCTGCTCTGGGCAGAAGATTACCAGTTGGACATACGAGTATTTTGAAGGGCAGAATTGAATCGCCCAGAATCTTTCAGGTCTGAACAACAAAACTTCCCAAACTTTCTGCCAAAATCCCAAAAGGGTCATACCCTAGGAATAGAATAGAACAAGAGATAAGCCGAATATTACTAAATCTGTAACTGACCCAGTTCTGCTGTAACCAAGGAGAATTCTCCTGGTAGAAGACAGCATCTTTTGGAGCATCTATGATTCTTTTATATGGCTTTTTTTTCTAGAACTGATAGAGGAATTTACTAAAGTTGCAAGATACAATGTATACATGCAAAATTAGCTGGGTTTCTAGATACCAGGGATGAGAAATTTGGAAAGGAGATTCAAAAGACAACTCCATTTATAACAGCATCTAAAAGAGTAAAACATGGAGGAAAAAATATATCCAGGATGTGAAAGACTTATAGTGACTATTATGAAACAGACAGGCTAAAGAAGACTAAAATATGTGGAAAGATGTCCCATGTTCATGAATTGGCATACAGTTTCAATGCCACCCAAAGAGATTTACAGGTACAATTATAAGACATGAAGACAGG